ACATTAATGTCAAAATATAAATATTTTCGGATTGCAGAAATCATAAATGTCAACTCTGTGCTCTCAACAAAGACAGTATGTCATTTCCCACTTGTACAAACAGCTAATGCCACCATAAATAAACAAAAAAATCTAAAGTTAAGACACAAAATAAGGAGGGAATTTGTGTCACACTGCATTCAAATAAAGTAAACTATGAATAATTGCAAACAAGGCAGTGTTGATTGAATCCTCATCTTATTTTTAAGGATGAAGAAGAAAACCAGGCACTAATTGCCATGCAGAGCAGGGCTACAGTTAACTTGTAGCTGACGAGAAGCTGAACTCCAAAAACAATCATGAATGGAGCATCACTCCGTTTTTAAACCATCAGGAGAAAAYAGTGATGTCTAAATGAAACTGAAGACAGAAAGACATATAGAGCTGCAGCCAAAACAGTATGAGGCTTATCTACTGTGACCACATACACACATATGTGTGTATGTGTATGTGCATATCATGTGCGAGGATGAGTGGGTGGKAGTTTGTGCTGTATGAGCTCCCAGGTGTGCTGTAAGAGGGCAGCCTGCTGCCTGAGGAGATGTTCGACTCTACGGGAGAGAACTGGAGGAACGAATGAAGGAATATCTTGTTCATTACTCCTCTGGCTGTCTGCAGGGTGTTCACGTGCACGACTGGGCATGCACGCAAACACACAGAGTTTCAAAAAAAAATCAGTAGGAAATGCTGGGCTGGGTCTCACACTCTGAGGAAACTCCAAGACTGGAGCATGTTCACCATAATCACATAAGACTGGAACAGATCCAGCGGCAACAGAGCTGAGGGGGTGAGGGGGGGATCCTAAAAAAAGGTTTAGTCTGTTGGGAGAAAGAGAACCAAAGCGAAAATAAAGAGAGAATTGGATGTAGAACAGAGGGGAGGATAAAAAAGGAGGGAGAAAAGGAGAATGGCATTTTGGGATTGAAAGGATGCTAAAAATGAGGATGAGCTGGCGACAGAGAGCAGGAGATGAAGAAGAGTCAGGAGAAGAAGCCCAGAGGAAGACGTTTTAGCCAAAATCAAAGCAAAAAAATATATCAACCTCTACAGAAGATGGAGGCGAGGCAAGGCAGAAAAAGAAAGAGGAAAAACWTAAGTACATGATGGAGGGATGGATGAAAAAAAGAGAATAAATAGAGGGAGAGCACCTCRGAGCAGGTTCAGCCAGAGAGGGAGAAAAAGGGTTTTAGCCAGATTAAAGAAGCCAGGCAGGCCTCTTAAGACCATCCGCCTAATGAAATATGTCAAAGCCCATAAAGAAACAGCGAGGCCATTTAGGGAGGCGGGTGGTGGCCGCTCGTGTCGGGGGCGGGTACGGCACAGGAAGCTGGGCAAATACGCAGCATCAGCAAAAAATGTAAAACTCGCCAAGGCCCCCGTCGATACACATTAGCCGAGACGTCAACTGGAGAGAAGATGAAAAGAGGGAAACACAAGAAGGAAAGGGAGAAATGRATGGCTTTATTTATCATAGGCCTTTAGAAATACTGCCATCGTTCTTACAAACAGAATTGACAGGGCGGAGCTGAGGCCACTTGTGGGAATGCTGAGCTCGGGGAATTAAGAGTTTAATATTGGGACATTTGTATTCTACGGCAACAAGCTCTGATGGCTGTTTCAAAGGGGTGAAGGAGGAAACACAAGCAGAAAGTTGCTCTAAGTACGTGTGATGTTTCTTTCACAAGCCTCGAATGTTGCTGAAATAAAACAGTTTCCACAAAGAACAAAACTTGAAATTGAGACAGATATTTTTCAGTCTTTTTTCCCCTTTTTTGGTTCTGTTAGTCAATTTCTACACTTTCAAAAGATCGTGTGATACAATGAAATCTTTCTTTGGGTTTTACTACCAACACTGGCTTATCCAGTCAACTTATTAGAGAATAAAACCTCTGAAGTACCTTGATCTACAGTTTCACCCTGAATATGGAATATTTCTGTTTATACTGTTATTTCTATTTATGCTGTTATTTCTACTTACACTGTTATTTCTATTACACTGCTATTTCTATTTTAACTTATAGACGCTAAAGAATGCTCATTGGGCCTCATGCAAGAACCATTCGTACGCACAGATTTGTTCTTAAATTGTGCGTACGAGTGA